GGGAAGATTAGGCAGAAGAATTGCTTGAACCCTGGAGTTTGAGGTTGCAGTGATCTATGATGGTGCCACTGTCACTCTAGCTGGGTGACAGAGTGACACCCTGTTTCAAAAAATAAAAAAAAAACACCCCATTTTGTCATTTTGTTGTGGTTGTGGTTGGTATCCAACTTTATTTTTCCAGATGGTTAGCTAAATGTTTAATTGCTTAGGTGGGTGGATATGAGGTAATTTACAGAAGTTATACACGTAATTGGTGATTATGTGGTCACTAAGAAACAGTTTCTGAAAAGCAATATTTAATAACAAGGGTAATTGTAGATGATTAAATGTTAAGTTAAAAACCAGGATACAAAATTATATATTCACAATACTTTTAATTTTGCCATATAAATTCAAGGAAATAGCCGGGCACGATGGCTCATGCCTGTCATCCCAGCACTTTGGGAGGCTGAAGTAGGCAGATCACCTGAGGAGTTTGAGACCAGCCTGGCCAACATGATGAAACCCTGTCTCTACTAAAAATACAAAAATTAGCCAGGTGTGGGGGTGGGCACCTGTAATCCCAGCTACTTGGGAGACTGACGCAGGAGAATCGCTTAAACCCGGGAGGCGGAGGTTGCAGTGAGTTGAGATGGCACCACTGCCTGAGTGACAAGAGCGAAACTGCATCTCAAAAAAAAAAAAAAAAAGAAAGAAAGAAAGAAGAAAAAACAATAGATTAGCAATGGTGAAATCAGGTGGACATCATGTTAATTTAATATCACTAGAAATGAGTTCAACTGACATCATACACCTGTTGATGTGATACACCGAGAAAACACATCCGCCGTGTGATATTTCTACAGAAATCTTTCACCAGAACCTGACCATGAGGAAGCAACCAGTCCAATCTCTGTTGAGGACTAATTTGCAAAACAACTCACCACAACAGAAGTAAAATGCTGGAAGAACGTTCTAGACCAAAGTTTAATGAAAATACATCTTTGATTGGATCTAACATGAAAAATTATTTAAAATGCAATTGCAAAGTATAGGACATTCTTGGGATAATTTGGGAAGTTCCAGACTGGTTAAACATTCCATAAAAATGTGTCAATTTTAAATCTCTTAAGTGTGATAATAGTATTGTAGTTCTGTGGGAGAATCTCCCTTTTAGGAGACACTTACTAAAATTTGTAGGGGTAAAATGCCAGTTCTTCAACTTACTGTCATTCAAATGAGAGAGAGAAGGCTGGGTGCAGTGGCCCACGCCTGTCATCTTAACCCTTGGGAGGCTGAAGTGGAAGGATGGTTGGAGGCCAGGAGTTTGAGACCAGTGTAGGCAATGTAGCCAGACCCCATCTTTGCCAAAATATAAAATAAAATAAAGTGAAATAAAATGAAAGGACTAAAACAAAAAGTATCACAAAATGTTAACAACTGGTTAACTTAAGTAAATGGTATGCAGGATTTTTTTTTTTTTTTTTTTTGAGACAGAGTCTCACTGTCGCCCAGGCTATAGTGCAATGGCATGATCTCAGCTCACTGTAACCTCCGCCTCCTGGGTTCAAGCAATTCTCCTGCCTCAGCCTTCTAAGTAGTTGGGATTACAGGCACCCACCACCATGCCCAGCTAATTTTTGTATTTTTAGTAGAGATAGGGTTTCATCATGTTGGTCAGGCTGGTCTTGAACTCCTGATCTCAGGTAATCCGCCTGCCTTGGCCTCCCAAAGTGCTGGGATTACAGGCGTGAGCCACCACACCTGGCCTAATTTATATTTATTTTTCTAAATTCGGGAAAAAAATTTAGAGGAGAGAAAAAACATTCAATTTTCCCTACCTTTTTTTTTGTTTGTTTGTTTGTTCTTTAGAGATGGAGTCTCACTCTGTCTCCCAGGCTGGAGTGCAGTGGTGCAATCTCGGCTCACTGCAACCTCTGTCTGCTGAGTTTAAGCAATTCTCCTGCCTCAGTCTCCCGAGTAGCTGAGATTACAGGTGCACGCTGCCACACCCCAGTAATTTTTTGTATTTTAGTAGAGATGGGGTTTCACCGTGTTGCCCATGATGATGTCAAACTCCTGTGCTCCTTGCAATCTGCCTGCCTTGGCCTCTCAAAGTGCAGGGAATACAGGCATGAGCCACTATGCCCGGCTTTTATTTTCCCTACCATTCTTATTTAATGTTCTATGTCAATTTTCATAATCTGATGTGAAAACAGGTAGACTTGGGAAAGAGGAAGAGGCAGCTGCTGATGTCTAGATATGGCACCTTCTGAAATGTTTGGGAAAGTGCTGTTACTATCCATAGCGTGCATTTTGGAATAACCCTCAACTCTGTTGTGAATGTGTTTTGAGGTAGGTGTCTCATCTTGATTGTGTTTCCCTGGGAATCTAAGCAATGATTATAGATATGGTCTCTAATTCTCTGAGCAAAGATGTTCTGGACATGACCTATAGGAATTTTGAAGACACACTGGGTGCGGTGGCTCATGCCTGCAATCCCAGCACTTTGGGAGGCCAAGGCAGGTGGATTGCCTGAGGTCAGGAGTTCAAGACCACCTGGCCAACATAGTGAAACTGTATCTCTACTTTAAAAAATGCAAAAATTAGCCAGGTGTGTTGGTGTGTGCATGTGGTCCCAGCTACTCGGGAGATAGAATCAAGAGGATCACTTGAATCCAGGAGGAGGAGGTTGTAGTGAGCTGAGATTGTGCCACTGCACTCCAGCCTGGGCAACAGAGTGAAACTCCATTTCAAAAAAAAAAGAGAAGAGAAGAGCACAAAAACAAGGTCCACAAGTAAAGTCCAGAGACAGCCATCTCTAGGTGAACCTGGTGGCATGGGCCTGTAGTCGCAGCTACTCAGGAGGCTGAGGATGGAGGAATGTTTGAAGCCAAGGAACTTGAGGCGGCAGTGAGCTATGATTGCACCACTGCACTCCAGTCTGGGTGACTGAGCAGGACTCTGTCTTAAAAGATTAAAGAACGACAAAAAACAAAAAAGACAGCCATCTCATACAGCAGGTCAGACAGGTCAGGAGGTAGCAGGAACCAGCTGACGGAGTCTGGCCCTTATGTCTCTAACATGGGCATCATAGACATTTCATGAGTGTCTCATGCAGGATGCTGGGCAGCCGAAACGGAGAGCAGGAAGAACCCTCACAGCCCCACACCTGTGAGAGGTGTATTAAGGGAGGGTGTCTTAAGGCTTTCTTCTGCTTTTAAAAAGTCAGCTTATAAAAGGTGCCAGCCGGGCATGGTGGCTCATGTCCGTAATCCCAGCGCTTTGGGAGGCCGAAGTGGGCGATCACCTGAGGTCAGGAGTTCAAGAACAGTCTGACCAACATGGGAAAACCCAGTCTCTACTAAAAATACAAAATTAGCTGTGTGTTGTGGTGGGTGCCTGTAATCCCAGCTACTGGGGAGACTGAGGCAGATGAATCGCTTGAACCTGGGAGGTGGAGGTTGTGGTGAAAGAGATCGTGTCACTGCACTTCAGCCTGGGCAACAAGAGTGAAACTCTGTCTCAAAAATAACTAAATAAATAAAAATTAAAAGAGGTGCCAATTGTAAAACCATGGACACTGATGTCCTTGGGGGCAGACAGCCCCCACAGAGCCTGATGGCTGTTGATCAGAACCTGCAGTGTCAGTTCCAGGAGGGACTGCAGGGTTCCCACAGCATGGGCCTCTTCTGGGAGTGGCTGGAGAACAGAGATGAGCTGGGCAGGCCTTAAACTCTAGAGAGAGTCAGGCAAGAACCTTACCCTGCTGACTTACACCCACGGGGCACCTGGGGCAGGAAATGGAGGTCTGACAGGTAGAGTCAGTTGCACTGAATGAGATCATTCCAAATAAACATTCCATTAGTGTGTGGTCCCGGAAGGCCAGCCACCAGATGTAAACTTTGTTGCTTTTGTTTTCCCAGTTATTTAACAGATAAACAACAGACACCTCACCCTTGGCAGATGACTTAGGAGTAGGCCCTAAATAACTGTATTTTTATCATTTCATACAGTATAATTTTTTTGTAATTTTTAATAATAAAGCAATTCTTCTGGTGAATGAAAAATCCCAAACAGCTAGAAAAGAGAGTATGTTTTAAGGTGAAATATAACGTGCAAGATAATATATTTAGAAATGTCTACTCTGTTTCTTTTTTTTCTTTCTTTCTTTTTTTTTTTTTGAGATGGACTTTCATTCTGTCACCCAGGCTGGAGACGAGGTGCGATCTCAGCTTACTGCAACCTCTGCCTCCCGGGTTCAAGTGATTCTCCTGCCTCAGCCTCTGAGTAGCTGGGATTACAGGTGTCTGCCACCTCGCTCAGCTAATTTTCTGTATTTTTAGTAGAGACGGGGTTTCACCATGTTGGCCAGGCTGGTCTCGAACTCCTGATCTCAGGTGATCTACTTGCCTTGGCCTCCCAAAGTGCTGGGATTACAGGTGTAAGCCAGCCTTATTTCTTTTTATTCAGACTTTCACTAATTCTTTCAAGAAGGTTTTTGTTTGTTTTTTATAACATAAGAGTGTGATGAATTCTGATAGAGAGAAAAACAATGTTTTGTCTAGCCCATGACAGTGGAGAACTACCAATGGAAACACAAAATTTTACCTGGCCCTGAATTCAGACTCTCATGGTTATAAAGAAATGAAGATTATTCTTAAAGGTTTTAGGCATTTATTTAACTCCAAAGATACCTATCGCATATTTACAATGTGTCAGGCACTATTTTAAGACCTGGAACAGAAACTATACACATGTTTAAGTTCTTGAGGACACAAACGTCTTCGAAGTGTGTTCTCATCCAAACATAGGTTTAAAAGATGAGTAAAAGTTAAATTTAGCAATATTAGCTTGTTAAGATGTTCACAGGGCAGGGCGTAAGACAACTCATGAGATCTTTTATGAGGATTGGGATAAACAACAACAAGGAATGGGTCACACATTTGGGCCTGGCTTGCTGGAGTTGCTATATAAGGGCTTCCCTGGACAGAGGAGGCATCATACCTCCTCATCTCTCCTGAGTCCTCCCTCCTCACTCCACCTGAGTCCTCTCTACTGACACCATGGGTTGCTGTGGTTGTGGTGGCTGTGGTGGTGGCCGCAGTGGTTGTGGTGGCTGCGGTGGTGGCTGCAGTGGTGGCTGTGGTGGTTGTGGCGGCTGCGGCGGTGGTTGTGGTGGCAGCTGCACCACCTGCAGGTGCTACCGGGTGGGCTGCTGCTCCAGCTGCTGCCCCTGCTGCCGCGGCTGCTGTGGAGGCTGCTGCAGCACACCTGTGATCTGCTGCTGCCGCCGCACCTGCAGCTCGTGTGGCTGTGGCTGTGGGAAGGGCTGCTGCCAGCAGAAGGGATGCTGCCAGCAAAAGTGCTGCTGCCAGAAGCAATGCTGCTGCTAGGTGGGCCCCCGGCCTCTGGGCAGGGGCTGCAGACACTCAGGCTGTTGGTAAGACTTCGGGTCTGCAGGTGCTACCCTTGCTGCGGCTTTCCTCCATCTCCTCCCGTGTGCTCCCTGCTGTCTCCCTGTCACCTGGACTTCATGATAGTTTTCTCTTTGGTTTTCATGCTCTGTAGTTTAAATCATTCTTTCTATTATTAAGGTAGTTACATGGACATTTGATACAATGCCATTCAAAGACAAAGACTCAGGACATTTTGAGTTTTGAGCTCAGCAAAGCAGGATAATGATTTTTACCATGTTTTCTTCTTTGTGCATTAGTTCTTGTGTGTTCCAAATACCCTCTGTCTTTTCTGTGGCCATAGAGTCTTTTCTAGGTGTTCTCCTAAAATTTTTATTTTTTTGTTTTTAACTTTTACAAATTCTTGGTCTTTAGTGCTCTAATTTTGATTACATCAAACAAAAATATTTTTTCCCTTTGTAGTAACTCATCTATATTTTTAATTTGAAAAAACTGATACATAATAGATATAGATATTTGAGGGGGTACATGTAATAAATTAATATATTTCTATAATATGTACTAATTAATTCAGGGTAATTGGGATATTCATCACTTTAAACCTTTTTCTTTTATTCTGGGAAATTCAAATTATTCTCACTGTTTTGGAACAGGTAATAGATTGTTGCTTACTATAGTTCACTATTTACCAAGCACTAGGTCTTGTTCCTTCTAACTATATTTTTGTACCCATTAATCAACCATTCTTCATCTAAAAAATTTCATAATAAAATGCAAAAGTGAACTCTGAACAGTGTTCCTTAGTTTTATTCATACAGATACTTTTCATCAAACTATCATTAATTATAATTTTCCATGGGCTGGAGACCATCAAGAATACACACATGATTATGCCCTCATGTGGTTTACATTCCATTTATACACAAATAACCACAAACACGAGGTAGAATAATAACAAACATGTTAAAAGTTCTACATTGATGTGCACGTCATGGGCAGGAAGACCACATTGCTGGGTGGGGAATGGGTGTAATTCAGAGGAATTCGGATCACTTCAAGAAGGAAGGGACATTTGGGAGTGAGTTTTGAAGAAATGACAGATGGAGGTGGTTTTGAGATGTTTGAGAAGGGCAAAAAAGTGAGAATGGAAGAGTTCAATTCATACAAATCTTGAGTCTGACCTATAGTATACTAATATAAATGGCTAGAGAAGTCAGCAATGCCAGGAAGACAGTTCTACCATTTGGAAGGCTGAGGGTTTCAGAATACCTTAAAAGCCAGGTGTTCTGGCCAGGTGTGGTGGCTCATGCCTGTAATCTCAGCACTTTGGTTTTTGGGTTTTTTTGTTTGTTTGTTTTTTAGACAGAATCTCAATCTGTCACCCAGGCTGAGTGCAGTGGCACAAACTTGGCTCACTGCAACATCTACCTCTTGGGTTTAAGTGATTCTCCTGCCTCAGCCTCCTGAGTAGCTGGGGTCACAGACCTGCGCCACCATGCCCAGCTAATTTTTGTATTTTTAGTAAAGATAGGGTTTTTGGCCAGGCTGGTCTTGAACTCTTGGCCTCTAGTGATCTGCCCATCTCAGTCTCCCAAAGTGCTGGGATTACAGGTGTGAACCACTGGTCCCAGCCGTCCCAGCACTTTGAGAGGGAAAGGCGGGAGGACTACTTGAGCCCAGGAGTTCAAGACCAGTCTGGGCAACATAGTGAGACCTGGTCTGAACATAAAATACAAAAATTAGCTGGGCACGGTGGTGTGTCCCAGCTACTTGAAAGGCTGAGGTGGGTGGATCATTTGAGCTCGGGAGGTTGAGGCTGCAGTGAGCCATGATAGTGCCACTGTACTCCAGCTTGAGTGACAGAGTGAAAAGGGAATAGGCATTCTTCCAAGCACATACATGTGTCATGCTGTACAGAGAGGGAACTGGCACAGAGAAGTTATCAAGTAACTTGCTCAAAGTCCGTAACAGCTGCCGGGGGCCCTGCACACACAGCAATGCTATGGGCCAAGGAAGGCTTTTGAGAGAAGACACTGACCTGGGCACCAAGGCACAGAATTCACTGGTTCACGGGGAGAACAGATTGGTGTCAGCGATCCTGGGCAAAGCAACGAGGACCCAATACAACAGCAGAGAGGGAATGGCAAGAGTATTTGTGGGAGTTAAAGGAGTAATACAAAACCCAGTAAATGAGGGGGACTTCCGCAATGACAAAACAAGCAAGATGCCAATGGTGATTTAACAATGCCCTGGGACTTCTATTCTTCTTTTCTTAGAGATTTGAAATAGTACAAGGTAGCCTGTCTTATTTTTATTTTAGTTTATCTTATTTTTTCAAACAGGGTCTTGCTATATTGCCCAGGCTGCAGTGCAGTGATGCCATCATGGCTCACTAAAGCCTCAATCTCCTGGGCTCAAGCGATCCTTCCACCTTGGCCTCCTGAGTAGCTGGAATCACAGGTGCATGCTGCCGCGCTTTTTTTTTTTTTTTTTTTTTTTTTTTGAGACAAGAGTCTCTCTCTGTTGTCCAGGCTGGAATGCAGTGGTACAATATCGGCTCACTGCAACCTCTGCCTCCGGGCTTTAAGCAATTCTCCTGCCTCAGCCTCCTGAGTAGCTGGGATTATAGGCATGCACCACTACACTCAGCTAATTTTTGTATTTTAAGTAGAGACAGTGTTTTACCATGTTAGCCAAGCTGGTCTAAAATTCCTGACCTCGTGATCTGCACACCTTGGCCTGCTAAAGTGCTGGGACTACAAGCATGAGCCACCTGGCTCAGCCCACACTTTTTAAATTTTGTGGTAGAAGAAAGGTCTTGCTGTGTTGCCCAGGATGGTCCTGAACAGTTGGGCTCTGGTGATCCTAACATGCTTGGATTATAGGCGTGTGCTGCTGTGTCTGGCCCCTTTAAAATTCTTATTACATATGATCAACTAGGTGAGGAATTGACCACTTCCCTTTAAGTTGTTTGTTTCATTCTGTAAGATGTAGAGGGAAAGACAGTTGGCAACCTCTGCCTCCTGGGCTCAAGCAATCCTCCTGCCTCAGCCTCCTCAGTAGCTGGGGTTACAGGCATGTGCCACCATGCCTGGCTAATTTTTGTATTTTTAATAAAGATGGGAGTTTCACCATGTTGGCTATGCTGGTCTTGAACTCCTGACCTCAAATGATCTGCCCACCTCAGCCTTCCAAAGTGCTGAGATTACAGGTCTGAGCTACCGTGCCCAGCCTGCTTTTAAAATTTTATTTACTTATTTTTATTTTTTATATATCTTTTGAGACAGTTTCTCCCAATGTAAATGCAGACATTAAAAAAAAAAAAAAGAAATAAAAGAAAAATTCAGCAGCTCATGGACAAAAAAAAAAAAAAAAAAAAAGAGAGAGACAGAGTCTCCCTGTTACTCAGTTGCAGTGGTGCAACCTCAGCTCACTGCAACCTCTGTCTCACAGGTTCAAGTGATTCTCCCACCTCAGCCTCCCATGTAGCTGAGACTACAGGTGTGTGGCACCACACCTGGCTAATTTTTGTATTCTTAGTAGAGACGAGGTTTCCCTATATTGGCAAGGCTGGTTCTGAACTCCTGACCTCAAGTGATCTACCTGTCTTGGTCTTCCAAAGTTCTGGGAGTACAGGCATGAGCCAGTCACTGTACCCAACCAAAAATTGCTTTTTTAAGTCAATTTAAACAAATCCTTCCTTCCTTCCTTCCCTCCCTCCCTCCCTCCCTCCCTCCCTCCCTCCCTCCCTCCCTCCCTCCCTCCTTCCTTCCTTCCTTCCTTCTTCCCTCCCTTTCTGGCCTCCCTGCTTCCCTTCCCCCTCCCTCTCTCCTTCCTTCCTTTCTTCCTTGCTTTTCTCTTTTTCTTTCCTTCCTTCTTTCCTTTCTTTTTCCCTCCCTTTCTGGCCTCCCTGCTTCCCTTCCCCCTCCCTCTCTCCTTCCTTCCTTTCTTCCTTGCTTTTTCTCTTTTTCTTTCCTTCCTTCTTTCCTTTCAAGACAGGGTCTCACTGTCACCCAGGCTGGAGTGCAGCCTTGATCTGGGATCAAGCGATTCTTTTGCTTTGGCCTTCTAGCTAGGACTACAGGCATGTGCCACCACGCCCACCTAATTTTTAAAAATTTTTTGTAGAGACAGAGTCTTGCTCTGTTGTCCAGGCTGGTCTCAACACTGTGGCCTCAAACAATTTTCCTAACTTCACCTCCCAAAGTGCTGTACTTACAGGTGTGAGCCACTTCCTACTTATCTTTTGCATTAATTTTAAGAACATCTGGATGCAGACTGTAGACTAATGACACACATTATGGGGATCACAGGGTTTGGCACATGTATAGTTTGCCACTAAATATTGTTAGAATGAGCAAATGTTATATATATTATATATACCATATCTATACAGAGGCTGGGTGTGGTGGCTCATGCCTGTAATTCCAACATACCAGGAGTCTGAGGTAGGCAGATCATTTGAGGTCAGAAGTTTGTGACCAGTCTGGCCAACATGGTGAAATCCCATCTCTAATAAAAATACAAAAAGTAACTGGGCATGGTGGTGCATGCCTGTAATCCCAGCTACTTGGGAGGCTGAGGCGGGGAGAATTGCTTGAACACCGGGAGGCAGAGGTTGCAGTGAGCTGAGATTATGCCACTGAACTCCAGCCTGGGCAACAGAGCAAGGCTCAATCTCAAATAAAATAAAATAAAACCATATATAAAATAGAGGTTTTATATATATATGTGTTTCTATATGTTACTTGTGTTCAATATAGTATACAGGGGTTTATATAGGCATAGAATATCTTTAAAAAGATACTCAAGACAGGGCATAGTGGCTCATCCCAGGATTTTGGGATGCTGGGGCTGGAGGATTGCTTGAGGCCAGGATTCTGAGACCAATCTGGGCAACATAGTAAGAGCCCATCTCTATTCAATTAAAAAAAAAAAAAGCCACTGAAGACAATGGTAAGGGAGGGAAATTGGCGGCTGAAAGATGGGGTGAGGGGTGGAGGAAATTTGACTTTTCACTCTTTGACCTTTTTGTACATTTAAAACTTTGTATTAATTTTTTTTTCCAGGGAAAAACTTACAATGACATTGGTTTATGCAGAAATAACCCAAACCAAGAAACTGCCTGGAAATGTATGATTAAGGAGTTACAGGAACTCTCCCCCCACAACTCAAATCTGAATCAGTTGACCTATCACCTTAGGGAGCTATGACTGCAATGAATTTAGACTGAAGAATTTAAAATTAGTATGGATTTTGAAGAATCAATTAAAATGATCTGTCATCACCTTAGACAAACTTTTTCTTTTCTTTTTTGAGAAGGAGTTTTGCTCTTGCTGCCCAGGCTGGAGTGCAGTGGCATAATCTCTGCTGACTGCAACCTCTGCCTCCAGGGTTCAAGCAATTCTCCTGTCTTAGTCTCTCAAGTAGCTAGGATTATAGGCATGTGCCACCATGCCTAGCTAATTTTGTATTTTTAGTGGAGACGGGGTTTCCCCATGTTGGTCAGGCTGGTCTTGAGCTCCTGCCTTCGAGTGATCTGCCTGCCTCGGCCTCCCAAATTGCTGGGATTACAGGTGTGAGCTACTGCACCTGGCCCAAACATTTTTTAAAACGGCACAGATAATATATGAATGCAAGCATGGCATTCATTTGAAGCATATTATTTAAATAATAAAGAAGTATATGGAATGTAAAGCAAGATGTGTCTTCATCTAACCCGCAATCCCATTTCTGTTCCTATAGTCACAGTCGTGACAGGAATGGGCTGGCCACCAGCAAGACTAAGTCA